TGCTGTGTGTTTGGTGAGGTTGCGGAGAAGTGTGAGAGCGTGGTGTTTGGTGGAAGTGTAAAGGTGTGGTTCTCTGATGGTCTGTTGGCGTTGTCGTAGTCGTCGAAAGAGACGTTTGTGAGTGGCCAATCTGGAGTAAAAGTGCGCTCGATGTTTGGTGAATTGCCAACCTTGGGCTTTAAGCTTTGAGGTGGTGTGAGATGAAGGGCCAGTTGAGTGTAGGCATCCAGTTGGCAATGTGATGGTGTTCTTGGATCCAGGCCTGATCGTAAGTGTCGTGGGATGTGAGCTGAATGGTGGTGTAGTGGTGGATGTTGTTGTGGGAATGCCAATAGCATAAGGAGAGTTCTGCCGAAATTGGGATATTGTTCTGGAGTTGCTTGAGCTTGGCTCGGCGGTTGTGTTCTCTGTGTGGAATGCCAATGGCTGTGGAGCCGACGTAAAAGTGGCCATGCTGGTGGTAACAGCGATGTGGTGGAATGGGGTTGAAGTAGAGTTTGACGTAAACGGAGTTCTGGGAAAGAAAGTTGTGGTAGTGGTATAGGTATGTGGAAGGATGTGGAGTTGGCGGAAGCGGTTGCACCACTGTTGAGATCGGTGTGTTGTGGATGGATATGCAAAGAGTAGTGTGATGTGAATGAGGCCGGTCGCAAAGATGGCCTCTGCTCGTTCGATGTATTGGGTGTGGTGGATCAAAGTGGACAAGGCGCGGTGGAGGTGAAAAAGAGATGTTGCATGGTGGTATGGCTGGGTTGCTGCTGGCTGAGAATAGCGAGTCAGCAGCCAATGGCTGCACCTACGCTGACCAGGTGTTGCAGGCTGCGGATGGGTAAGCGGTTGACGCGACCGAGAGGGAGGCCATAGCGAGTGGCTGCCTCCTTCAATTGTTGTGTGGTCACTTTGCTTGTTTGGAGCAGGCGTAGGATTTCGTTGGCAGACTCTTGGACAGTTGGGTCAAAAGTGGTGACCCAATGCTGGATGTCGGCGTTCGTCCAGCTGTCAGGGATGTCGTCCTTCAGGGATGGGTGTGGAGGTTGCAGGACGTCAGCCAGGACGGGTGGCTTGTGTGCCGGTGGGGTCGGTGGGTGGGGTGGGTCTCCAGAGCCTGTGGTGCGGCTGGTGCCCTTCATGGGGGTGAGGGGATTGCCCAAGTTGTGGAGCTTCTGTTTTGCTCGGGCAAGCTCGTCTGTCGTGGATTTGAGTGCTCGTAGAGCAGTGCCTTCCGCCGGTGCCGGTGAGTGGGATTGGAGTTGCTGGATGAGGAGGTTGATCAAAGGGGCGTGGAAGGCACGTGCTTGTGTTGTCTTGCTGGGGATGTCGGTGCCTTGTGTGGTGTGGAGGGTTTCGGCGATGGCGTCCAGGTCCAGGCGTTTCTCCCGGATTTCCTGGAGGAGATGTGTGACAAAAACGGATTCTACCACACTCCGGGTGGCGATGAAGCCGGTGTACTTCCCATGGCTCAGGGTGCGTGCTGTATACTCGGCGGTGCCGTGGTATGCGAGTTGCCAGGGAAAAATGTCGAAAGTTGGGAGGCCGGCAACTCCGGCCTTCCGTGACCATTGGGTAGGTTGTATTGTTCGATAGAGCTGGTGGCCGTGAAGAGTATTGGCGTCCCAATGGTGGGCAGTTTGGTGCCAAGAGTCTTGGATGGGTGGCTTGGGAGATGGGATGTGGGGTGGTGGGGGAGGTGCAGAGCTGTGGCCAGCGGCAGCTCCTGGCTGTGGACTGTGTTTGAAAGATGTGCCTGGTGGAGTGACTGGAGCTGTGGTGGGCAGCGGCGGAGGTGGTGGCGGCGGGAACTCTGCATGGCTGTGATGGTGGAGTCAGTTGTGACGGCGTGGGCTGCGGTGGTGGTGTGTCCGGTTGCGTGTGGTGAGTATGGTGAGTGCGAAGAGCATGGGTAAGTGGACCATATGTGCTGGTGGGGTTGTATGAGTGGTGGCTTGTGGAAGGATGGGTGGTGGCGGCTTCTGTGGAAGTCAGCTGCTGATGTTGCTGCTGCTGGAGCAGGTAGTGGTTCCAGTAGTATTGTTGCCACTGTGCATCCATGGTTGAGTGGAGGCTGGAACTCGAGAGATGACAATCGCAAGTGGTTGCTTGAGCAGGCTGAAAATTTCTGTCCGCAGGGAAAGTAAAACATGGAAAGTGGTAGAAACAGTGTGACCAGAAAGTGAAACATGGTCAGAGTAACAGTCAAATTGGCAACCAACAAGTCAAAAGAAGAAAACATGAAGTCTGAAATGCACAGTAAGTGTGTAGCTGGTAACATGCAGTAAAGGTCAGGCAGCAAAAGTCGCAATCGTTTTTCGTGGTGACAGGTGGAGGCCTCGTTGGGGATGGCTGCAATCCGAAGATTAGCATAATGGAGAGGGTGATTCAGGTAAGTTGGAATAGATGTGGTCGAATGAGAACAAACACATCCACGGATCGAGAGGCTCTTGTGGCCAACATAAGGCTGCGGCGCAATCAGTGGTTGTCTGCATGCCATGGGTCGTCTTCTGGGCGGTAGTCCTGTTGGTGAAGTGGCAGGGGGCGCCCCTGCGCATCATAGTAGCCCGATGGGCGTGCAATAAATGTCACCATGGCCGCGTCGAGAAACTTCTTGTTCCAACCCCACGCCCTGGTGGCAGCGTAGGGACGGTCGTCGTGCACGATGGTGGCCGTCGATGGGGATATCAGTTCCCAACGAAGTGCTCGCATGTGTCAGCTTTTGCTTTCCATGCTTGTGCAGTCTTTCCTCGAGCAAATAAATCGGCCCCAAGCTCTTGCAAAAGTTCCAACGCACAGTGGGCGTCCGCCCAAGGTCTCGTGCCATTTCTCCCCAAAGGAATTCACAGAAATGAAGATACCGCTTGCGCATCTGCGCGGGGGTGGCGCTCATGCAGTCGGCAATGGCACGACTGAACAGGGGGTGCTGGGGGCTGTACGCCAGGATGTTGCCCTGGTAGAGGGTGGGGAAGCGATGCTCTCCCACGACCTTGTGGCAAAGACAGAGACAGATACCGACAGATACCGAGACGGAGACAGAGACGCCCTACACATACCCACATAGACCGGCGCCCGGCTGTCAGGCGTAAGCCTCATAAATCATCAAACTCCCGCTCTGATTTGCAGAGTTGCCAAAAAGTTCATCAAGAATCATGTCAAATCACATATTATGGACCACAGAGTTTTCAGCCAGCGACAATAAAACACACACTCTGACATTGGTTTTCGGTTAACTCAATTCCCAGGTGGAAGGAAGGTGGAGAACCGCAAGGTGAAAAGTCCGAAGAATTGGAGATGTTTGAACAAGTGGTTTATGCGCATCTGCAGAACTCACGACGGCAGCTCCCGAGCGGCTGAAGGCGGCTGAAACACCGCGGTGGGGGGAAGGTTTGTGGGAAGTATCATGAACCACCATGGAATCAAACAAGGAGGATTGGTACAGCTTGGTCAAAAGTTAAGCGCAGGTACGTCGAAAGTCCGAACCTGGAGCTTCGTTGGCTCACGCCAGGAACAGACCCGTGAGCCCCTGCTGAAAAAGCATTCAAAAAACAAACAAAGAGGTGGAGCCCTTAGGCAGAGGGTTGACACACACACACACACACAACACACAAAGGTATTCTTTGCCAAAAACATCTCAAAAACCACAATGACTTCACCCACTCAATGCAAGTGATCCCGCCTAAAATCCGCCCGCGCCGTGTACATCCACATCGCAAGGAATCCGGCTAGATAAATCCTAAGCTTTAGCTTGGGGGGCGGCATTTTTCTCCTAGAAATGCTGTGCTTTCCAATGTTTTGTTTGAAAATTGATCAAATTTGGACCAGACACTGGAGATGCCAGTTATGCCGGTAGGTCCAAGTCGCATAATTGACATCACAAACCTATTGGTAAGCCACCTGGGCTGCACTATGGATATGCGATGCCGGTTATGCCGGCCGGGTGATAGTGCATTGCAGACATCGCAGAAATCGCAAACGTCGAGGCAAACCGTGGGACATTGTACGATTGATATCGTGGATGGGTGTGTTCGGTCGTGTGCCCAGTCCGACTGGATGAGGTGAGTGGTATTGAGCATGTGGCTTTTGATGTTTTTTGGCACACAGACACAGAGAGACAGACGGACACAGAGAGACAGGCCAGCCAGCCAGCCAGCCAGTTAGGCAGCCAGCCAGCCAGCCAGCCAGCCAGCCCACCAGGCAGCCAGGCAGCCAGACAGCCAGGCAGGCAGGCAGGCAGGCAGAGGCAGGCAGGCAGGCAGAGGCAGG